TTTTTATTTTCTTTTTACCTACTTTTTTCTTTTCCCCCTCATTCTTCTGCTTCTTTCAAGCATTCTATTACTGAAAGAATTTGGATTTCTCTCCAAACTAAAAGAGTCAACCACACATAGTTACAGTAGCCAAGAACTGTGGATAAATACAGGCCCTGATCTGACCCTTCATACCTTCCTGTGTGGAACTCTAACTAGTCTGCATAAATTATTTTAAAATGCAAATTAAATATTCTGCCTCTTAAGAAAAAAATGTGGGAGGCAATAATTATAGCAATTTTAGTAGCTGAAGATCTAAAAGAATGAAATATTAGAGATTTTCTATGATAAAGAAGAGATTTGATTGAGACAAGATAACAGATTACAGACACAGATATCACTTGCCTTGAGAGACAAAATCTAAACTAACACTAATAATTAATGTTTATTGCATGCTTACATCAGAAAAGTGTTATTTGAATGGCCAAAGGAATCTCTGTGTTTCTAAAGAGTGTCCAAGCAAAATAAAACATTTGGCAAGAGTTAAGGATTGGTAAACCTAAAACTCAGGTGTTAGAAAACCACTGTTATTTTATTTCAGACCAGGACATTCTGAAATTATAAAGTAAGTCAGTAGAAAATATATACAGAGAGAGAGAGAGATTTCAAGAACCATATATTCATATATTTAATAATTTTTTAAAAAGAACCATATATTGCCCAGCAATAGGCTCTCCTCTAGAAGGGCATTCCCAAAAATGAACTGTTAAGTCTATTTAGGTGGTAAAATTGTCACAGAGAGGATAATGACTCCTTTTAATGGGAGAGAAGTTAATCGATGATATTGAGGTGCATGAGTCATATCCATAGCAAACTTTCTAATAAATTTTTACATTTCCCATATGGAGATTAAGGTATTCTTGAGCAAGTCTCGTTCTCCTAATGGAGATCTAGGGTAGGGATAATACATACAATATAAGCCATGTACATTAAGCAAGTGCCAGGCACAACTCTAAATATTTAATCAAACCTTACAAGGAATATACTTAATATCTTGATTTTAAAATGAGGGAACTGAAACTTTTAGTAACTTGTTAGGGCCTCACAGCTAGTAATGACAGAGTTAGGGTGGCATCCCTGTGTTCTTTTCCATTACCCTGTCCTGTCTAGAAGCAGGGTGGTCTCTCAGCCCCTTCCTCACTTAGTGACCTTAAGCAAGTCACCCAATTCTCCAAGCTCACATCTCCTTCCTCTGTGGGACTTATGATGCAGCACCTATTCTAATGGGCTGTGGGGAGGGAGGAACTTATGGAATAAGTAAGGCTTTTCCTGAATTCCATTGCCAACTGGAGATATTACAAGGGTACTGAGTTGGTTCCACAGTGTACATGCCTATATTCCAAAACTATATAGCACTGGTTTATGGATTTACTCAATATGATCACCATTTTTTTTTTTACCATGTCAGTATTTGCATACATAAATTAATTCACTGAACCAGGAAAAAACATATTCCCACAAAAGGGAAATTATCCTGTTCTGTAAATAATATCATTTTAGTTAAAATAGAAGCATCAGGGCTGGGGTTGTAGCTCAGTGGTAGAGTGCTTGCCTAGCACATGTGAAGCACTGGGTTGATCCTCAGCACCACATATAAGTAAAAGCTAAAAACATAGAAACAATTGTCTTTCTTAGCCCATACTGCTCTAGCAACCAACCTATGACACCTAAACTGTTGCCCAGGATGGAGGGGGGTGTGAAACCCCTGAACACGGGGTTATAAATCTAGACCCACCCAGGATCCATATTCTCCCCATTTTTTACTTTTACCTGAAGAAACTCTGTGACCATTGAAAATGGTTTCATAAATAGATTCTCTATGGCTCTGCAGATAGCCTTTTGCCTTGAACTGGCCTAACTCCTCTGCACTTGACTCTAGGAAGCCGGGGTAGCCGGATGCGTGCCTACCTGCAAGAGGAGAGAAGGGAGAATGAAATGCAGACCTCTCCCACATAGGAAAAAAATTCCTGCTACTGGGGAGTGCGTGTTCATTTAAATATCTAAGACAACAGACAAGTGCTTTTTGTGACCTTTTAAGAGCAGCGAGGCTATAACAGTAACACTACGGGGCCTGGAGGAGGATTTCCTCATAGCAAGTACCCCTCTGCCTCCCCACGTCCCCAAATTCCCCTTTCACCTCTTCTCTTTAAAGTCCTCAACTACATTTGACCTAACTTTGCTCTTAAGCTTCTGATTTACATCTGAATGAACAGCACGGCAATTTGTTCCAGAGAGGATCCCTGAGGTTTGCGCCAGTCGCTCAGGGAGGTACTTTGTGTGCTGAGCAGGATGTTCAAGACAGATTGCTCACTGGTTTGGAGCACCGCGGAACACTGCTTCCCCATTCTGCTTCCAATTTACAGTCTGAAGGTAAAAAGTACACTAATTAAATCCTTATTAGGAGGAGCAGCGGGGGCGGTGCGAGGCGAGCAGGGGAGGCGGCCGCGGGGCTGCCTGTTGCCGGGCAACCACTCCAGCAGAAGCCAAAGCTCCTTCAAGGCCCCAGGGCACCGTCTCAGGCAACCAGGGGTAGGAGGCGACCAGGAGTCACGGACGCGGGCGGCTAAAGGAGTGGGGCGGCAGAAACCCCAGTTGCAACTCGTGCAACACTCTTTTCCACCCTGGGAATCTGTGCAAGGCCTATTGTAATACCGAAGCTCAGGATCGACACCCCCGGCTTTCCTCCCCTGCACTTCTCGTTAGCCGAGCACTTTCCAGCAGAGACCTTGTGGCAAAGGAGAGCCAGCCAGCCTTTCCCTGCTTAGCTAGCCAGAATTTCCTTCTGACAGAAGCAAAGGCTCAGCTCCAGTTTTCAGGCCCAGCAGGGCCACTGCTCTGCAGGACATGGCAAAGTCCTAGTGGCTTAACCAGAGTTTGCTAGCTGGAGAGGCTGCGGGTGATAACGGTGGGGAGTAGCTTTCACCTTAAAGAGAACAGTGCCCTCTGCTGGCAGTGTCTTGGAGGGTCAATTCACCGGACTTCAGGTCCCCCAAAAGTCTTGAGGTCTGTGTTGGCAATACAAAACAAAACATCTCTGAACAACTCATTCTTGCTCTCTGAAGAAATAACAGATGGAAGTGAGGAAAACCGGCAGGAAGGACAGGCAAGACAGAAGGACCAGAGCAGAAAGAGTGGCCCTACTCTTGAGCTAGCAGGATTGAGCACAGAAGCTTCATATTCCCTCATGGAAAGACCAGCACAGAACTAAAGTTCAGTTTCATCGAAAGATGGCAGATGCCCCTACCTCCATACCCATGCGCTCAATGCCTGACCCAGGCTGGAAGTGCTTTGTCTGAAACATACAATTCCCATTGGCCTAATAGACAACAGCGCTTAAATGTGTTTCTAAGAATACCATAATGGGAGAATGCAATGGAGAACTATACAGGACAAAAAGGAAGAAATTAGTAGCTTCCGTCTATAATGCAGACTTGCTCAGCTGAGGACCTTGGAACTGAGACCCCCGCCCACAGTGTTCAAAGGAGAGAAGCAAAGCATAATGTTAGAACCCGCAATGGCCTCAGCAGGAGCTCCATATGTTTTTTATAAGGAGGTACAATGTGAGCATTGTTCTGTGCTCAATAGCACGACTGTTATAACTAATGCTTTTGGTATGAATACAACCATTTAAAATTCCCAACCAGTTGCACTTAGTGACAATACACATCAGAAAAAAAGCTCAGAAGCAGAGATTTCTCACTTTAGGGTCAGTAGGCTTTAAATACACACTCATATGCCTTTTAATGTGCCCAACTTCCAAAAATATCCTTAACCTTTGCAGAATAATATTCTTGTCTCTGGTGTTTGCAGCTACAATACTGAAACATTTTCATATGCACAACTGCAAACCTGATTCTATGTACATAGAGCTGATGCACAACTGGTGGGGGACTTTGTTCTATGTTTCATACCACCTCAGCCCACCCCCAGATAATTCTCTTTGGTGTACAACTGCAGCTGCCTTTCCAGGCGAGGCGCTCTGTCCCTGCATGGAGGGTCTACAGATCCCACTCCTCCCTTTCAATTTCTATCCTCAACTACCCTCACTGCCCTGGCTAACTCAGTGGGGGCCTCTGAAAAAGAACTGAATAAGCTCAGTTTTGTTTATTGAGGTGGAGTCTCACTATGTTGCCCAAACTGGTCTTGAATTCATGGTCTCAAGCAAATATTCTCATTTCAACCTCCCAAGTGCTGGTTCTAAAGATGGGGACCATGGTGCCCAGCTCCAAGTTTTGAACAGGAAGAGGAAAATTGATTCTGAGTCTTGGGATGAATGTTCCCAAATATCCAAGTGTACTGAGCATTCATAAAGGATTTTAGGCAGCAAAGATCTTTACCCATGTTCAATTTGGGGGAATTCCCTCTTCCTTGAATCTTAAAAGGAGATAGTACTCCAACTTCCATACTGAAGTTGAGAGGGTCTGGTTAAAACCAGCTAAGGAGACCTGGACTCAGCTGATCAGACCTAGGCTTTTGTGATAGTGATGCAGTCAACATAATAGCTAATTACTGTAATGGCAGTGGTATTTAGAGCCCCATGTCTACCTGGCTCTTTTTACTTTCAATCCTGGTTATCCAGTCTTCCTAGACATTGCCAGACCTGATATTCTGCCAAGTCCCTCTTCTGCTCTGGTCAGCCAGGATGGGGCCTCTAGGTATTAGGATTGAACCCAGGGCCTTGAGCCTTAAGCATGCTAAGCAAGCACTCTACCACTGAGCTACCACCTCAGCCCTTTTTAAACTTTCATCTTGAGACATAAATTGCCGGAATGGCCTTGAACTGTGATCTTCCTGCCTCATCCTACTGAGTAGCTGGGATTATAGCGGTGGGCCTACTCCACTCCCTGGTGGCTGCATTTTGTAAACAAGACCCCTTCCTTTTCCTCTTCTTTCCATTTGTGTGCAGGATGGACACACGTACACGTGTGTGCGCGCACACACACACACACACACATACACACTTCTATTAGAAACTTTTATTGAAAAAATAAGGCCATTTTGTATCTCAAGTAGAAGTGCTCCTCAGACTTGTCTCCTCTTTCTTCAACCAGTACTAACAAAGCCCCTCTTTCATCATAAAAATGGGGGATACTGCCATTTTTAAGGTTCTTAAGTTAATCCCCAAATAACCCACCAGACATGGGTAAGGTCACATGAGAATACCAGGAAGGAGTAGCCTGGGAAAACAACCAGCCTGGGTCTTCTCTGGCTTCCTCAAGGGAAAGCACCCAATAAGCCAGCATGGCCCCAGTTGTGTGGGTGAGGTGGGGCAGTGCCCCATCCTGCCACCTGTAACTAGATAGAGGGAGGAAGGAAGGGTGGTTTATCCCGAGGGCAGGTCTCTGGGGGCCAGGACGGCCTGGGAGAGACGGGACGAAGGCCAAGGTTGCTCCCAAGGACGTCTAGTTGGTTCTGAAAGAGCTGGACATGTTCCTCCAGGCAGCGCTGCTGGGCCAGAACGGTGGCCTTGCCCACCAGCAGCTCACTGTAGGAGCACAACTCCTCTGCAGACAGTGCCCTCGCCAGCACCTCGCGCAGGGCCCGCTCACGTCGTGCCACATGCTCCTTCAGCTCCTTGGCATCTTCCTGCTGCCGTTGCAGAAGCCCAAGTCGCTGCAACAGAGAGTCCTAGAGCCACAGGGAGAGAATGCTGTGACAGCAGTGAGGCACCGCTGATCCCGGGATGGTTTCAGCCAGAGACAAAAATGCCTCCCCGCCCAATTCTCCCCCAGCCTGAACCCCCTTTACCCGCTCATCAGGGTCACCATCTGGGCCCATCCGGGCTAAGGCATGGTGCACACGGGCCAGGCGACTGCCGAGTAGCAGCAGGAGGCCAAGGACACGCTCCAGGTCAGCCAAGAACCGGCTGAACTGCTCCAGTTCCCGGGGTGCACAGGCCTGGCCCACTGCGGATTCCAGAGCCACCCTGCGTCTGGTCCATTCTTGGGCAGCACCTCGCAGCCGCTCCTCCTGGATGTGAAGGTCCTGCAGCATCTCTTGGAGAAGGCCGGCTAGCTCCACCTACAGGGAGGGGCTGGGTACTCAAGGCCAGGGCTGGGCCTCTGTCTTCCCAGCCCAGACACTGGACTCTTGCCCCACCCAGTGTCCACCAACCTCTCCACACTCACTTTCTTAGCCTGGATGCTGTTGTTTGATGTTTGGGCACTAGGACAGTCAGGCACAGGACAGGAGGGAGAGTTTTCAGGCCTTGTCATCTCCTGAGAAGTTGGCAGGAGCTGGGTAAAGTTGAATTGATAGGACCTGGGGACAAAGTTAGAATTCCCTGGGTTGTCCTGTCCCAGACTGTGGAAGCTTAGAATCCTGAGCCCCTGGTGCCTCTCACTCACCCTGGCTCAGAAGTACCAGGACCCTCTTCTCCAGCTTCACCACAGCCTAGCTTCATTGCAGCCCAGACTTCTGCTAAAGGAATCAGCCCATCCAGCAGGCCCAGGGGTGGCTCTGGGCATGGCTGGGAGGTAAGAGTGTCACTTAGAGAGGGATCCAGTCTGGCCAGCTCCTGAACCAGCTCCTCAAGACGTTGACATGGCCATGTTGGCTTGGAACCAGGCTGTCCAGTACCCCAGGGCAGGGAAGTATGGTGAGGGGACCCTAGTTTATCATTGCCTGAAGGTCCCAGGGCATCAACTGCAGGGTGGTCAGTGGTAAGCAGTCCACTGGTATCAATGACTGAGATGTCACCATTTGCAGTCCCAACGGGGATATAGCTTGTGGGCCTGCAGATACCCACAGAACCATTCATCTCCTGCCAGCAGTCACCTGCCCCTGCAGTCCCCGGACATTCATGCAGGGTGCACTCTGGGGGGACTGAAGCCTGGCCAGCCCTTTGGCCCAAGCCAGTTCCACACTGCTGGTCAGAGGCATGGACACTGGAAACAGAAAAGACACCGAATCAAAAAAAAAAAAAAAAAAACATCTCTGACTGAGGCCAGAGTGATCTTCAAGGGATGCCTTCCCCCACCCCCACCCCAACTACCTGGCCTTCCAGGATCCAGCTAGGAGAAGGTTCCCTGCCCCTCTAGCATTTCTAGAGGTTTATGTGTGAGGGAGAGTGTCTCACTCTGCTTGGAAGCAAGAAGGAATTCACCTGATTGGAAACTCCTGGGGAACATGGGAGTCTGGAAGTGATCTCATTCCAACATGCAGGGTTTCTTCCAGGAACACTTCATCATCAGGAAGGGAGGGAAGGAGGGCATATGGAGACTCCATGCAGATCTCTGAGACCTCCTGCTCACACTTGGCAGGGCTGCTCTGGGGGTCCTCTGCAGGATGCACCAGTGCAGCTTCCTTCTGAGTCAAGAATCTGGAGGCAGGGATCCCACACTGACCACAGTGACCAGGAAGGAAAGTCTTCGTGCTGCACCAAGGAAACAGAAAAGTGTGCAGTTTGCAAGACAGAAGGCTCAAAATGAGGGTTGGTTGGAGGGGCTGGCAGGGTCCTTTCTTAAGCAAGAGCTGTGAAAGCAGCCTCCCACAACTTCCAGAGTGGTCCATGTGTCTCACCTGGAAAGTTTGGTCTGAAACAGCAGTCTGGGGTTTTCTGCTGCTTGGGAAACAGCCTGGAAAGGTGAGTAGGTGACTGAAATGTGGCCATCTCCCACATGCTCCCCTCCACCACAAGCCTGCATCCTCTATCTCCATACCTGGACAGGGGCCACGGCCCCTCCTGGACCTTTCCAGGGGCCCAAGACCTCTCCTGAAGGGCTCCGACTCCGACTGGCAGGCCTACAGCCATTGCCGAGCTTCGTGGACCCGGAGTTCAGCTCCGCTGTGCTTTGGGGTTGGGCCTCAGCCTGCGCCCAGCACTGCAACCCTTTGACCTCAGCCTGCAACTCCCGGGGCTCAGGACTGTTGAGGCCAGACCTGGAGCAGGCCAAGCTCAAGCACTCCCCCGCCAGCCCACCACCCCGACCCATGCAATCCAACTTTCCTGGCTCTGAAAAGCACCATTTCCGCTGCTGATTGGCGAGGCGCCCCGGACCAGTGGATCCTGGCGCTGGAGCTCCGGAGCACGTGGGTCCTACCTCCCCGCCGGGGTGGCTAAGCGAGGAGGAGCGCGGGTGCGCAGTGGGGGGTCGCGCGGGGACAGCTGGTCGCAGGCGGGTGGGCAGGCTCATGCGGAGCTCCTTGCGCTGGAAGGATGTCTCCCGGAGCACTCGCCGCTGCGCGCCCTGCAATCGCTGGCGGTAGGCCGCCCAGGAAGCTGGTGGGCTGGGTGGCTCGGCGGCCCGCGCCCCGGCCTCAGCCTCTGCAGCCAGAGCGTATAGCAGCGGGGTTGCCTGTCTGCTGAGTGGCCCCGGGGTTCCCTGGGCCTCTGGGGGCCATGGCTCACAGCACGCAGCAACAGCTGGCCGAGGCCGCTGCGTGGTGGGAGGATCGGCATCAGGGGGGGCTGGGGCCGGGCCGCCCCAAACCACGCGCACGTATTCCCAGTCGAGGTAAGGGTGGAGATCCGCGCGAGGCGACGGCGTGCGTGCCTCAGGGGCCGAGAAAGAACAGTAGGCCGAGTCGGCGCGAGTGGACAGCCGCCGTAAGTCTAGGCTTGGTGTGGATGAGGCTGGGGAGGCGCTGTCGTCCCTGGGACCCAGGGCTTCCATGGCTGTGCAGAAGGAGCAGGCTGGTTCCGTGGATCCTAGAAATACAAGTGGGGTGGTGTTCCAAGTAAAGGCTAGGACAGACTGCTGGCCCTTCACCGCGGAGAGCCAGAGGCTTACACGTCCCCTCTGGTCACATGGCCCATAGGATGACATTATTATGGCAGAGTAACCTTGGGGTCAAGGATGGCATGGGCAGTAAGACCAGTCCCAGAGAGCTGCTCTGGAAGTTGAGGGCCTCTGCTCAGGGAAAGCGATTGGCACTTAGTCCATTCCCTGCTAGGACTCCCAGTGGAGGCCTCTACCCTGCTACCTCCTGCAGCGCTGAGAACATACTTGTGCACCAACCCCAACCTATTTCACCCAGGCTGCTTCCTGGCCACTCCGTTAGCTTCTCCATGTGATCTCTGCCGGATAAAACAATGCTGAAAATGTTCTCAGATCACAGAGGGCAGGGGCAACATCACAGCCTCTCTCCCTGCTTCTGTGCATATTCTTATATTCTGGGTCTTCATATAAATATTCATCTTGATCCTCACCACTATCTGCATTTTACAGATGAGGACCTTGAGGTTCTGAGGGGAAATGATTTGTCCAAGGGCACACAGCTGGTAAGGGGCAGAGCCCTGGCTGAAATCTGGGCATGCCTCCAAGCTCACTGCAACCAGAATCCATTTCCTAGAGGCAAACCCTGCTGAAAATCAGTTTATCATGCCCTTTCCCCCAACAAAGCTCAAACTTCACATGGGAAATATTGCCTCCCCACAAACTACTGACAGATTCCAGAATATACTATTTCTGAGATACTGACTTTTGTCTGAGAATGACTAACTGACTCCCACCTCTTGCCCTGATTTTCTTGCTTCCTCTAATTAACTAAGCTTAGAGGTCTCCTTGTATTTTGTGATGCCTACAGTCCTGAGTTTCCACAGCATTCACCATCCTGCAATATAATTATTAGCTTACCATTCCCTTCACCATTCCCACCCCTGAGCTTCCTGAGGACAGGCCCTGCCCTTATTCATCACTCAGTGCCTGACACAGTGCCTAGCATGCAGTCAATGTTAAATAAATATTTGTTGAATGGCAGGGGAAGGAACAGATTTTCAGGGAAAAGATGTAGGGGTGGCCTTGGTTGAAAAGAAGAGGGTTTTTTGGCTTTTGCCCACCCTTCTCACCTTTCTGACAGTCTTTTCTGGAGAAGCAACAGAATGGGTGAGGCGCTTGTCACTATAGACCCTGACCAGCCAGGTTACTTATCTATTATTAGAAACAAACAGAGTGGGTAGACACAGTAGGAGTGGCTGGAAATCATACCTCCCCAGTGCTGGGAGAGGGAGCAAAGGGAAGAGGTGGATGTGTGTGCCTGCGTCAGGGTGACTTTTTTGTTGGTTTGGTTTGTTGGTTGGTTGGTACAGGGGATTGAACTCAGGGGCGCTTAAACCACTGAGTCATATCTCCTGCATGTTTTTACATTTTACTTTGAGATAGGGTCCAGCTAAGTTACTTAGGGCCTTGCTAAGTTGCTAAGGCTGGCTTTGAACTTTCGATCCTCCTGCCTCAGCCTCCCGAGTCACTGGGATTATAGGCGTGCACCCCTGTGCCCAGCTGATAGTAGCTTTGAGGCTTGGCAACCTGGGGCTCCCAATAACCTAGGAGGGGAGCTTATCTTTCCTAAGATGCTTGGTGGAGAGTATAGAAAGATTATGGTGATCCACAACTGAGGTGGAATAGAAAAGCAGGCTTTTTTGAGCATCCCAGAAACTATTTGTAATTCAGAGTCACCTTCCACCCACCACCTTGAGACCCAGGATACTACAGATTGCTGGTGAGGACAGGTAGTGGGGTTAGTGGTGGGAGGATAGGGGAGAGAATGTTGCAACATCCCTAGTGAGGGCTTTCAGCAGACCTGGAGCTCACAACATCTGATGTCATCTGCCTGGGGACATCTCCCTGACCACTAACCCCAGCCCTGCAGATTGGTCCACATATTCTGGTTTGGGAACATGTTTTGCAAAATGTTTCTACTCTCTAAACAAGAATCTACTCTTGAGTAAAGCTCCTAGGAAAACAATTGCCTCCTCTAGGAAGTCTACTCTTGACCTCAAACATCAGCTCTCTCTCTCTTCATAGTCCTTCTAAGCCCAGTTCATGGGCTAGCTCATGCCACCCATTCCTGCCTATGTTGGCTGCAAAAGGCAGGGGTGACCAAATACAAAGATACTTTCTCAAAAGAGGTCATGAAAATCACCAGGTGTGGTGGCACCTGTAATCCTGGCTGCTCAGGAGGCTGAGGCAGGAGGATTTTAAGTTTGAGGTCAGAGTGCTGGCCTACTTAATGAGGCTGGGGGTGCAATAGGGGTGGCTGAGACAGGAGTATCACAAGTTTGAAGTCAGCCTCAGCAAATTAGTGAGATCCTGCCTCAAAATTAAAAAAAATAATAAAAAAAAAGTGTGTGTGTGTGGGAGACTAAAGATGTATCTCAGTGGTAAAGTAACCCTGGACTAAATCCCAAGTAACCTCCCTTTACCCCCCCCCCCTAAAAAAATGACTGGGGGTGTAGTTCAGTGATCCTGGGTTCAATCCCCAATATGGAAAAATAAGCCATGAAAATATATCTTTTTTGAAGTTACTGTGTAAACAAAAGATTCTGAATTCATCAGATAAAAAGAATTGGAATGGACAATAAAACATGTGTATACTTGTCTGTTTCTTATGGATCCTAACTTGTCTCGAGGATGTTTTTGCATTGATGGCCCCAGTAGGTTAATGTCCACACAGGATGTTCACATCAGCCCTTTTGCAGAACCAGCTATATCACCACAGCCCAGCTGCTTTGGTGTGTGTTTGGGACCTTCAGCATAGGAGCAAGGAGTTTCACACTCATCTGGTTGCATACAAGAAGCCTCTTACAGTCCAGCCAGTCCCTGTGGCTGGACAGGGAAGCCATATCCTAGAAGTCCCAGCCTCAGCATTAGTGTCAGTTGTGGGCTGGGCAGCACAGACTGTGCCTCTTGCTGAACTGAAGCCCAGAGGCTTCATTTTACCAAGCCCCACTAGAGCAAGGGGAGAGCATGAAATCCCTGCTAGGAAACCACCAGATAAGGGCCTGGGAGTAGGGAAACATTCCATTCATCTAAATGAAGGAGCAAGAGAGGAAGAGAAGACAAATATGGGTTCAGGGTTCAGAGTGAGAGGTCTAGGGGATGGAGGTGCCAGTCTGAAAGGAGGAAACTAGGGTTGAGGACTGGCCAAGGGGTCCAGTGCTCATTTAGTCTGGGGTCTTTAGGCCTTTCCATGTCTGTGGCAAGTCTGGCCACAGTTGGAATGTGGGTCTGGACCTCTGCAAAGAGGGTAGGACAGACAAACCCAGGATTTTACAGGATGTTGGAGAAATCGATGAAGACAGTTTCCTGTGGATAAAAATCACACCGGAACAAATATAGGTAAACTCACCAGAGAGGTACAAGAGAACCCCAAATGCAATAAATCACCAGAATTAAATCGTCCCTTTATCAAAGGCCACTTCCCATCTGATCTGTCTGTGATACGTTGCCCAAGCCACCCTTTTGTGTTGGTATTCCTTCAGGACGGGACTCAATGTGGGGAAGCTGGATGCATAACGATCTCCTTGCAAGACGGCGTTCCGAGGTTCAGGACTATGTCTTGAATCCCAGCATCCCCAGGCTAGGTCTGACTGGCTGGGAGTTCTGGCAAATTCTGTGGCTCTCCCAGCCTCACCATGCAGACAGAACACCCCACGCAGTATCTGTGCTGCTGGTTTTCAGACTCGGTGGTCTCTGCAGCCCAATCGTAGAGTCTCCAGAAACCCTAGCTCCCTTCTTTGAGCAGGAAATGCAGGTTGCTGGTGGCTCTTGGGGAGGGGCGGCTGTGGCTGTGGATGGACCACATACCTGCTGCTTCAAGATCTGGGACATGTGAGACGGCAGAGAGGCGCAGGCTCTGGCGACCGCAGAGGGCGGCAGAGTCACGCCGAGCCACGCCGAGCCGCGGGAGAGTGGATGGCCGTCGACCTGAGCATTTCTCGGCCTTTCCTGTGGGGTCCACAACTGCGAAGTAGGGCTCAGATCGCGGACAGGGGGACGGCAAGTTCTGGGGCAGGAGGGACCCGTTTCTCCAGCTGCTCCGCAACCGTAAAGCAGCAACAGGGGGTCGCAGAGTAAGTCTCCACGGTGTGCTTTGGTCACACACAGCTCCCCCAAGAGCTCCTCCAGCTGGGTGGGTCTGTCCCCTCCCAGACCCTGGCAAAAGGTAAAGGTGCGCAGGGGCCTGACTCCACTCGCGTAACCAGACTGGACTCCCAGTAGGACCCCTCCCGACAGATCGACACACCGGCTGTTCCCAACCCTGCAGCCACCACCACTGCCGCCACCGCCCCTCTTAAACTCCCCAGCCTCCTCCTCGCAGGAAGGAGACCCAAGGATCCCGCCACCCTCCCCTCCCTACTCCCCGGCCCCGCCGCTTACTTGAGGCTCCAGCCTGAGACTCTCTCCTGGGCGCCCGCGGCCGCGCGGTGACATCAGAGCCCTGGCTCGCGCTCCCCGACCCCACCTCCAAGCTCTGGCCGCAGCCACAGGGGAGGCGCCACCTCCGGCCAAGAGGGGCGGGAGCGAGGAGTCGGGCGCTGCCCCCGGAGCCACCGCCCCTTCCCAGTGTCTGCTAGTAAGCCTAGTCCAGGGCCAAAAAAGTGGACAATTTGTTCCCCCACCGTGCTCAGGCCTCTGGCCTGGGGCCAGAGGACCGGGAGCATAAGGTAAAGGGCGACCACAGCAACAGCCGCCCATTTTTAGTGCGGCTGGCCGGACAAACCATAAGCATCCCACAGTCCCTACTGTGGAGAGGTCCAGGATGGGCCCCAAGGGGCCGGGGGAGCACTCCAGCCTTTTCTCTCAAACTCTGAGGAAAAAATGCGCCCAGAGCTCGTGGCTCCTTCCTGTTCCTCTGTATGGTTCAGATGGCAACAGCACCTTGACAACTCTCTTCCAGACCCGCATTTCCAGGACTCTTCAAGCTTATTGACTCCCACCGTGGCCTTCTGTCTACTATTCTTGCCACCTTTGCATTTCACCCACTACCCAGCAAAGTCTAGGCCCTACTGCTACTTGAGGGTGGTAGGAAACCTGAAGACTGTGTGTCCACCCCAGCTTCCCTAAGTGGGTCTTTGTGTGCTAGACATATGCACACCACCTAAGGCTCTCAAGGTCTTGACCTCTGGGGCATCCTCCATACTCCAAAGAATGCCCTGCCTTTATCTGACGCTATGCTTTTCTTGCTATGTCCTCTCTTCCCCTGCCCCATCTTACCAAAACTCTATCCTATGAATATTCACTCTGCCAAGAACTGGGCCTTTCCTTTAGAGTGCCCTTTGCTGAAATCCTTCAGCTCCCAGGTCTCTCTGCTGCCATCATGTCCCACAGGATAAGCATGCCGGGGCCTGGGACCATGTCCTCCCATCCTGGCAATGCTGGCAGATAAAGATATGTTTGTGTTGATAAGCAGGACCCAGAACTCAAGCCAAAAGTGAAGGCTGCTATTTCCTGGGGCACTGAGATCCTAAGGAACTCTGACTTCCTAGATCTTCTGGTGGGTGCAGGTAGCAGGCACCTGAGCCTAGCTTCTTAGAGTGATGCTCTACCAGCCCTGCTCCTTCAAACTCCCATCTGGACTTGGGGGTCAGCTTCAACAGGAGCTGTCTCTAAGACAGAAACTCAGAACCCCTTGGCTTTGAGAACTGTCCCTTTTGAAATTCTTGCTCCTTTAGGGCAAGTTTTTTCACTTTTAAATTTGCACTGAATTCACCATACTTGTCCAAAGATAGGACTTTACAGGAAGGATCTTCAAGAATGAAGTACAAGGAGAATTAAACTCATCATCTCTTTTGGGGGCTCTGGACAGGCAAGGCCTCTGAGGTTGGGTGAGGGCTAGCTGTCCTGGGATGGAAGCTTTGAGATCAACAGTTCCTGGGAAGGAATGCTGGGCTGTCACATTCCTAGTGAGTACACGTATATTACCTTTTCCCTACAGAGACGGGTGAAATCCCAGCCTGTTTATTTTGATCATAATAACTCAACTTTTCTCCCCCAGCCTGGCTCATTCCAGGCCTGGGACCATGTGTTAGCTTTTTGTCACTGTGGCAAAAATACCTGACCCAAACAATATAGAAGAGGAAAACTTTATTTTGACTCATAGTTTCACAGGTTAGGTCCTATCTCTCGGTAGTCCATTAAGCTCCTATGAATATACAGGTGAGGTCAGAACCCTCATGATCCAATCATTGCGTAAAAGCCCCATTTCTGAAACTTGCAGCATTAGGGACCATGGTTTCAACATGAGACTTTGGGGGGCATTCCAGATCTAAACCATAACAGACCATTTCATTCCTCTGCTCTGATCTGTCCTCATTCACGTTACCCACACGTCTTGGATAAAAGAGGATAAATAAGATGGATGGATATGGATTTCTCTCCTCTTCTGCCAAGTCCAGAGGACCAAACTTTGCTATTTCCTGGGACCAAGAGGAAATTGTCCCTTAAGGTTCATTTTAGTCCCGAGAGCAGAAACTGGACCCCAACAGCATAAACCAGAGAGGATATCAACCTCCTCAGGCCATGAATGGCCAGACTGTCCCTTTTGTGTTTATACCCTACAAAGGGAAGAGATAGTCTCCTAGACTCCTAAAATCCCCCCCTCCTAGAAGCGCCCTACTGTTTAATCCAAATTTCCTGGATCTCCAATTGTTAAGAGGTCACCTGGTCAGCATTTTAAATGAAAGAACAATCCATTTCAGAGCTCTGGGCCCAAAGCTATGCAGGGAGGCTGCACGCTGGACTTGGCACTGAATTAGGTGACACCATGCCGTGTGCATGTGGGATGAATGCTGACTGTTGGCCCTGGAGAGAGAGAATAATGTCCCAACATTCCCCTGGAAAACCTTTCTGACCTTAGCTGGTGGATCTTATCAGTTACTCAGAGGAGACTTTGCTCCAAAACCTCAGTTTTGGTATATCCAGCATCCATTGTTGTCCATGCATTATATTTTGGGAACATTGCCAGGGCTGCAAACATGCACGCACACACACACACACACACATACACACACAGTAGTTAGGAGTTCAAGGAAAGCATCAAGAGAAGTAGAAACAAAACAATAACAAATAAAATAGCAAGTTACTTTTGACTTTTCTGGCAGATCAATTAGCAAGACAAAAGGGGAATGTGTCCATTAACTGGGCAACACCAAAGGAATTTGGGGACAAAGAACAACTGACGGCAGCTTCCTGGAAGTGTCAAAGATGGATTTATAGACAGACTCATTCCCAACTTTGATTTTTCACAATAAAACAGGGACAAAAACATGTTCTGCAATTCAGTATATCCCAGGATAGGAAAACCAGTGTAGTAAGAAAGCAAGTTCCAAAGTCTAGCAGACCTAAATTTGGATGCCAGTAACTGTGTAACCCTGGAAATATCCCAACAACCTTCCCGAAGCTCCATTTTTTCATTTGTAAAACAGGGATACTACTACATAGCTTCCAGGGAAAGATCAAATGAGATCTGATCTTATGTATTCAGTGCCGGATTCATAGGAGACTGTTGGCAAGTGGTATCAGGTATCATTTCTAATTCCTCACTTGTGTTTGTCCTGTGAGAAACACAATCACAACTCAATTCCAGTCCTGATATTATTTCTCAGTGTTGGTTTATATACCAGGGTCCCCCATGGGAGACCTCTGCTCACTGATCCCCTCCTGGGGCTGTGGTAGACATCAGAACACCTCCTTTTTCAGGGGATCCCATACTGTGTACATCTTGGGGAGATAGATCCCTTTTCTCCTACTTTGAAAGCCAGTCCAGCCACAGTGTTGGTCTGAGACCTAGACTTAACCAATTGATGTTCCTGCCAGAAGCTGGGACTCACATGAGTGACATAGTGACACAGGGACAGGTAAGAAACAATTAAGAGTTTGGGGGGTGGTGACAGTGGTCATCCTAATCAGTTTCCTGCTCTTGCTGCACAGTCTTCTTTGGTTCTGTTTCATAGGCTGATTCTGTAGCCTTCCAGTCAATTCTCTGAGCCACTGACCTTCTAATACATTTGTGAATGGGTCAGGCAGAGGTGGTTGCTATTGCTTGAAACTAGGAAGTTTCTAATGCAGAACCAAGATACTGTGTAAGGCTGCCATGCCTGTATTAGGCAGGGACAAAATCTATCCATATCTGGGTATTCAGAGTCACTCTTTCCTTGGGAGAAGCAATTACCAGGCAAATGGGCTAGAGAGATCTCCCATAGCTACCTTGGGTTCAGTCTCTGCCCTTTGATGTGGCTGGAAACCCTCTTAAAAGTCTTAATCTCAAAACTAGCAACTCAGGAAACAGGATACAGCAACACAGGAGAAACAACGCAGGCAAGTTCCTGGTTCAAAGTCATAAACATTTGCTATAAAAATGAAAACAAGATTTCCCTTGATAAACATAAAATCAAAGGCAAGAAAATGTGGAGATTGGTTGCTTTTTTCTATTCCTGTTCTAGGAAGGGTTGACCTAGATTATGTTCTTACCAACATGAACCAGAACACTGAGCTGATGTCAGGCAGGGTAGACCTGTCTGGATACCCTGAGATATCTCATAGTTGCCCCCTCCAAGGGGCTGGTCATGGGCTGAAGTTTCCTTTTTTCTTTCCTCCCCTATGAACAATTGTCCCTGGCAAGGACCGACCCATCATGCTGCTTTGAGCCAAGTCACCTCCAGGGAAGCCTTCCTCAAGATACCCAAGGAGAGCTCACTGTTCCCTGCTCTACCTAATACCACATAGTGAAATACATAGCCATTTAGCTCAGTGCAGTGGCACATACCTGTAATCCCAGCAGCCTTGGAGGCTGAGACAAGAGCATCGCAAGATCAAGGCCAGCCTCAGCAACTGAGCAAGGCCCTAAGCAATTCAGCAGGATCCTGTCTCTAAATAAAATATAAAAAAGAGGTGAGATGTGGCTCAGAAGTTAAGTGCCCCTGGGTTCACCCCCATATCAGAAAAAAAGAAAGAAAGAAAGAAAAGAAAAGAAAATAGATGGTCATTTAGTTTTCTGTCTGCTCCATTAAATATAGAGCAAGCACTTTAAAGGGCAGGACCTTGCCTGGTAGTACCCAGCTCAGAAGTAATATCAGTGCTTGTTGAATGAATGCAAGGGGGAGACCCAACCCCATGTGAACAACTATGTCTTTCCTCCATTCTATGAATTCACAGACACTAGCAATATTGCAGGGATGCCCTTAGCCTTCAAGACCTGGGGATTAGCATGTGCATACGCGTGGGTATGAACATGTGTCTGTGTGTGTGTGTGTGTGGTGGTGGTGGTGGTGGTGGTGGGGTGTGTGTGTGTGTGTGTGTGTCGGACAGAAAGAGAGAAAGGTACATGAAGGAAAGTCCATACAAACAGCATTTTAGACACCAAGTAGAAGTAAACAGATTGAACCAAAGCACTTATATAATCAGCAAGTACCTTTGTACCAACTGGCCCAAACTTACAGTGAGAAGCA